ATTATTGCCTTCTACAAATTGAGCAATGAGTGGAATCGTTAATTTTCTAGTACAAGCAGAATCATTCATACAGCAACAAGGGTATAAATCATGACCTCTTCATACTATATATAGACTTCTAGTTAATATGACACATTTTAAATAAACTATTAATGATCTACCATTATTCGCAACCCTGACAATAAAAAAAGTTAATATTGTCACATTTTATACAAAATAACAAATGACAGCTAAGAAAATATAAAAGACTATCCAAAAGAGAGTGAAAGATATTGAGTGAGAGAAGAGAGAGAGACAGGAAATTGCAGTAATGCAGTGCACTGATTAAAATTCCACCATTAAAAAGGCTCAGTAACTACAACAGTACAAGGAAAATATCTCTATAATATGAAGTGCATAGCAAAAGTTCCTTTTTTCACTTGAGGAAAGGGTGTCCATCCAGTAAAATATTCTTGAATAAAGTTATATACAATGATAAAAAAAAAAAAAAAAAAAAAAAAAAAAAAAAAAAAAAAAATATGTGTACAGACTACAGAAATCTATCTGAACACATTCTTGGCAAAAGGGATTTCCCAAACCTTTTGAAAAACTGTGAATCAGTCAGGTTATTATATCAGTGAAAATGGGATAACACAATAAGCTGTATAAAAAATATATATATATATTTGTATAAGCATACACATTAATTTGTTTCATTGAACCAATACCAAGGGAAAGTTAATAATATAAGTACACCAAAACAAATTTGAAATTAGAAAGAAAAAAAAAAAAAAAATCTAAAACCTCCTGAATGCTTAATCTCAGTGTCAAGAACAGGTCATTACAAAATCTATCATCTTTATCATCTATCTATTACCGTCATCAATCTTCTGTTATCTCTCATCATCCTCTTTATAAATTATTTTTTATTGAGTAGTTTTTCTAATGCTTGCCAAGGAATGAAGCTTATAATAAACAATTAATCGGCTATCTGGGGATTACCTCCTAAGAAATTGCTTCCAAACCAAAAGAATAGAAAAGAAATACATATTTATGCAAAACATCAATGAAGATGGTAATGATAATAAAAAAGATGCTGCTGAAGTTAATAACATTAACAATAGTAATAATGATAATAATCATTGTGACAGTAATTATTACAACAATAATAGCAATATTCATTATAAATAAAAAAAATAATAATAATGATAATAATAATAATAACAAAAATAATGATCATTATTAATAACAATAAAATAACTAACAACAATAATAATAATAATAACAATAATAATAATAATAGTGATAATAGTAATAATAATAGTAATAATAGTAATAATAATAATAATGATAATGATAATCAATAATGATAATTAATGATTACTAATATTAATAATAATAATAATAATGTTAATTGTAGTAGTAGTAATAAAGTAAATAAATAAATAAATAAACAGATAATTAAATAATAATAATCAATAATAGCTAATAATAAAAACGATAATGAAAGAAATGGTTAATGAAAAAAAAAAAAAAAAAAAAGAAAAAAAAGAAAAAGAAAACATGAATGAAAGAGAGAAAGCAATGCAATAAATAAAATGCAATCTCTAGTATCAGCCAAGATATAATTACAATTTGTAAAATCTGAAGGAGGAGGAAAGAGGAGCAGCAGGCAAAGGATATGAAGAAATAAGTCAGAATGAGAAGAAAGTATTCTATCTGAAAAGCATGACCCTAGCACAGGAAATCTTTCAACGACTGTTCCCTAAGCTCTCTCCCAGAGTTTCTGCCAGATTTTCATTTCCTCCATATGGCTGACGAGTATCTAGCCCTGGAACAGTGCCTATCTGTACCCATTCTTCGAGATTATCACCACTGTGGTTTAATATAAAAAGGAGCAGATCATCCTACTACAAGTATTAGAAAACAGGTCAGTCTTACAAAACAACCTACCATTTCCAAGGGCATCCCCCAGGTGCTACAACCTTTTAAGCATACTGTTAATGTATCTAAATATATAACCTAATTGTGTTGGTAGAAACCATTATAGAGAACATTTAATTAATGAATGAGAAAAAATAAGTTTTATGTGAAAAAGTACATGAAAGCTTGTGTACTAAAACATTATATAAATGTACACAATTAGGGAAAACATAATCTTGTCCCCTAGAAGTAGAAATCATTCAGTCCCAATGCTATCTCCTACAAGACTTTAGTTAACAATGTTCATGTCCCTCGCCAGTCTGTGAAAAAGGGTCAGTGACGCACTTTTCTGCCTTGCTGTTATCATTCTACATTTAACTGTCTTGAGCCCAATTTTGGCAGCACAGCAAATGCTAGGCAGGGCTTGGATGAGCTTCCTCCTCAGCTGGAACACTGATGTGGAGGAACAGTTGATCCAGGGAGATTTTCATTAATTATCTCTGAATTCTATGAAGTCTTTTCCAATAAATTCTCATTAATTATCTCTGAATTCTATGAAGTCTTTTCCAATAAAATTCTAAGACCAATGAGCCCCTCTCAATTCTTAATATATTCTGAAGATGTATTTTTGTAAAATCCAATGGGTTCCCTAACTATACCTTGAAACCAAACTAAATAGCTGCACATATCAATAAAACCAAAAGAAAATAAATAAAAAGGTAATTTTCTGTAATCTCTCAGTGATTAGCACTTGGCCAGTACCAGAGCACTGTAATAACAGTCTGCTGATTTTTTGCACATAAACTTATTGCACTTTGGAAACAAAGTCAACCTAAAGAGCAAGTAGCTCATTTTATGTGTATGTAGATCATGTTGTCACCAAAGCAGACAATATGAAAGTTTCATTTACTTTTTTTAAATATCAAGCCAAGAAAAGGAAAAAAAAGATAAAGAAAAGAAAAGCAGACAAAGAGAACAAACGTTGCCTTGCTAAATAATAATGATGACCAAAATATCCTTTCAGGGTTGCAAAAACTAATTCTTGAAGTGAAAGAGTCTGACACCCTAATAATTTGAAATCAAATCAACATTAATTAGTGGTAACCTCCTCCTCTATATCTATGGACCAAATGAAAACTGAAATCACCTTAGAGAATACTGGCTTAACATTCTCTAAACCTACTTAATGCATTTCCGACAAATGGACTGGAGCAAGTACGTTGACAACATTGAAGTTGGAGAGGCATTCATGCCTTATGTTGTGTGTATGCTGTGTAATATCATCACAAATAGTATAAAAATAAACATACTCAAATTGAAAACAAATACCTATTCAAAGTCACAGAAATAAGGTCACCTATTTGTGAATTTATATATATACATATATATAACTATAACTATATATATATATATATATATATATATATATATATATATATATATATATATTATATATAACTAGTATATATATAATATAATATAAATAATATATATATATATATATATATATATATATATAATTTATATATATATATATAATATATATATATATATATATAATTATATATATAAATTATATATATATAATATATATATATATATTATATATATATATACATATAATATATATATATATATGTAACTATACAACTATATAACTATATAACTATGTAACTATATAACTATATATAACTATTATATAACTATATATATAAACTATATATATACATATATATATATATATAATTATATATATATATATATATATATATATATATATATATATATAACTATATATATACTATAAATATATATATATATATATATATATATATATATATAATATATATATATATATATATAGTTACATATATATAGTTATATAGTTACATATATATAGTTATATATATATATATATATATATATATATATATATATATATATATATATATATATACATATATATATATGTATAACTCTGTGTTGTGTGTGTTGTGTGTGTGTGTGTGGTGTGTGTGTGTGTGTGTGTGTGTGTGTGTTGTGTGTGTGTGTGTGTGTGTGTTGTGTGTGTGGTGTCTGTGTGTGTGTGTCTGTGTGTGTGTCTGTGTGTGTGTGTCTGTGTGTGTGTGTGTGTGTGTGTGTCTGTGTGTGTGTGTCTGTGTGTGTGTGTCTGTGTGTGTGTCTGTGTGTGTGTGTCTGTGTGTGTTGTCTGTGTGTGTGTGTCTGTGTGTGTGTGTCTGTGTGTGTGTGTCTGTGTGTGTTGTCTGTGTGTGTGTGTCTGTGTGTGTGTGTCTGTGTGTGTGTGTCTGTGTGTGTGTGTCTGTGTGTGTGTGTCTGTGTGTGTGTGTCTGTGTGTGTGTGTCTGTGTGTGTGTGTCTGTGTGTGTGTGTGTGTGTGTGTGTGGTGGTGTTGTGTGTGTGTGTTGTGTGTGTGTGTGTGTGTTGTGTGTGGTGTGGTGTGTGTGTGTGTGTGTGTGTGTGTCTGTGTTGTGTGTGTGTTGTGTGTGTGTGTGTGTGTGTGTGTGTGTGTGTGTTGTGTGTTGTGTGTGTGTGTGTGTTGTGTTGTGTGTGTGTTCATAAAAAATATGAATTTTTTATGTATTATGCCAAAAATAATTTCATATTATAGTTTTATTAGCATCACTATAATCATTGGCATTGTCAAATATAAGACTCTTAAAGTGAAAACCAATCCATTACAGTGCACAGAGCATAAAGAAATGCAAGAAAATGGAAACCAATGTGCCAACAAGTCAAATCCC